TTGCTCGAGGAGGGGGCGGGCCGGATGCGCGCGCACAGACCTAAGACATTTCGGACACCTGTGCAAGTGCCTCATGACCCGCTCAATCGTGCGAAAGTCTTTCATGCATGCCTGGCATACTGGATGATCAACAAGCTTCCAAGGCTCCTCTTGCGAAGGATGGTACTTGGCACGATGTATCGCTAGAGTCCGTGCTGTCGCAAACGCCTTACTGCACTGCGCGCGCGGGAACTGCGGAGGGGGGGGCGGGTCCGGCGACGCCTCAAGAGTGCGCCGCACGCGTGCGAACTGTCCTTGAAGCTCCGCCCCTTCCAGACCTGATGCAACGCGCCTTTGCCATTGCAACATGAGGTAATGGTCCTTCCAATATCGCCGGGCCTTCTCCGTAGCAGTGGCTACGGTTGCTAAGAGGGCACGAGGTGCCGCGCGGGCTTCCTGAAGCCAATCCCCACTGGGGCCCTGGGTGTCCTAGTGGCTATCTAACCACCGGAAGTCGGCCTTCAGCAAGGCTGTCCACGCGTTTTCCGAATTCCAGACGACATCGACGAAGACACGCAAAGCCGGGGGTCCTCGACGGAGAAAACGGGCGAGGTATCTTAACCTAGCTACAGTGACAACGTCGTGCAAAGGCAGACGTTCCGCGCGCGCAAGGAGATCAGTATGTGCCACATGTGCGACAGCAGAGTTAGCGTAGCCAACGTGAAAAGCGGTACGGTATATACGCGCGTGCGCCGTGCTGACCTTTGCCCCCAGGGCGCGGTTCAAAGGGCTCCAGGTAGGGGCAGCGTAAAAAAGGTGAGTGGATGCAAGGGCCTCAGCGTATATTACCTTGGAGGCGTCAGAAAGCTGGGGGCGGGGGGCAATGGCGTTCTTGATGGGCTTCAAGGCCGCGCGCGTGGCGCCGCATCGTGCCACTGCTTCCTCTGCCATGGAACCGGCATCCAGGATCCTCGCTCCTAACACCTTGTGCGACCGAACGACGCGAATGCTGAAAATATAACGCGCAGAGACCAGCATCGGGAGGGCTTCCCCGTCCAAAGCAACTCTCGCTTTTTGGGCCCCAGGGCCCCTGAAGTGCAGGAGGGCGACAGTTTTTCGAAAGTTGACAATGAGCCCGCGCCTACACACAGCAGCATAAAATGCCTCCGCAATCATGATCATCTCAGGGATCAGGTTCAGGTTCTGGGCAAGCTTGGCTTGGTGCGCCGCCGCGGCGTCGTCAACAAACGAAACGGCGGCGCGCATGTTGTCAAGATCCGCCTCCTGGGAACAATGGTGCTCAATGTCGCCGCAACCTAAATCCCATCCCAAACCCAAGATGAGAAGGAGTTCATCGAAAGTCCGGTGAACAGAGGAGTGGACAATATTGAAAGCATCAGTGGCCATGATGGCACCAGGTCGCGTGCCTGTCTGGGGCCTAGCATACGCGCGCGCGTGCGTGAGTTTCCAGATGCCTCCCGTTTGGGCCTCCTGGATCACCGCGACAAGGTGGGCATAATCAACCTTGTCAACAAACGCGGGTCTCTCTTGCACCTGCAATCTGGCAGCCACTATCAGCAATGGCGTCATGGGCAACGAAGCGATGACTTCATCTATGTCGTCGGTGCAAGTGGGCAGGGTCATGGCGTACTGACGAATAGTGGTGTAAAAAGCTTGCTTCAGATCGTAGCACAAAAGCCCCGCTGATCTCTTGAGGTGCGCAGCTGCTGCTTGGAACATGCGGGGCGTGTGCAGAGCCACGTCAGCCCCCCTACCCGGCAACCCTCCCGTTTGCTCCTGCTGGAGCGCCGCGCAAAACAAATTCGAGTGCGAGCTGCTTGTGGAAACAATGTTGGCACTTGCAAATCGCGCTACCGAGAAGGATGTTCCGCTGCGATTCTTCGACGCGCGGATCGCCTTAGCCCTTGAAGGAGACCTTTGCTAAGAGGGGGGTGGCGAGGCGCGCGAAAGCTCGAGGGGCAGCCCTGCACTTTTTACCAGCTCGAGTGGGCGCCCCGTGGCTTAGGAAAAGAGAGGAATGCAGCAGGGGGGGAAGAACAAGGCGAGAAGCAGCAGCAGCAGCAGCAAGCAGCGCAGACATGCTCGGCCGCGGCCGTCACCTGGCACCCCGGCTTTGCGGGGCACCGCTCTCAGCGCCGGGCGCCCGCAGGCCCACGAGCTCCACGAGCTCGCCCCTGCTCAGCCGGCTGGGCACAGGCAGCGCCAGCCGCGAGACCGGCGGGCCTGGCCGGCCGCGCGGGGCTCAGGGCTCCCCGGCCCGCCCCAGGCGCCGACCCAGGACGCGCTCGGCTGCCCGCCGGCGCCCCCGCGCGTCAGGGACGCCGTCGCCCGCCTCCAGGATCCGGGCTCGCGCCTCGCGGAATCCACATCCGCGGAGCTTCACGTGGAGCGCCGGCGCGAGCGCGCGCGCCGCCACCCAGCCCGAGCTGTCCAGGCAAAAGCGCAGCGCCTGCAGGAACTCGTCCCTGCCGACGCCGTCGGCCTCCAGACCGTCGCCCTCCCGCTCGGGCGAGGGGGCCGGAACCGGCGCGTCCGCCGCGCCAGCATGGGCGGCTGCGCGAGGCGATCCGTCCGCCTCCAGACCGTCGCCCAGGCCTGCCGCAGCAGGGAGGGCCAAGAGCGGCTTCACCGCCGCGCGGGTCCTGTCGGCCGCCCGCTCGCCGCGGCGCCCTGCCCGCCTAGCGGCCCGGGGCGGCGTCGCCACCGCGCGGCCGCCCTCGGAGCCCTCGCCGCCAGCTGCTTCCTCGAGCAGGTCGGCCCAAGCCGACCGCGAGTCAGGGGTGTGCACCGCCCAATCGGCTCCGTACTCCGACTCGATTGGGTGCTCTCCCCTGTCCAACTCCACCGCCGCGACGCCTCGAAGCTCCCGGCCTGGGCTCAGGGGCCCCAGCGCAGGAGCACCTGGTTGTCCGGCAGGTCCGTCGCCGCGAAGCGAGCCCAGCCAGCCTGACGGAGGGCGGCTGCCACCAGGTACGCGCTGGGCGCGCCTGTCGCGCTCTGCTCCCGTTGCCCCCCGGGGGCCGGTGGAGGCGCCAACGGCGCCGCCGCAGGGCCGCCCAGCCCCGCCGCCCCTTGCCCCGGGGGGGCCGGAGCCAGCTGCGTCGCCGGCGCCACTGGCAGGGCGCTCTCCCGTGGCCCCTCCGCGGCGGGAGCCGGTGGAGGCTTCGCCGGCGCCGCGGAGCCGCTCGGCGCCGGCGCCACCCGTTGCCCTTCCAAGGGGGCCGGAGCTTGCTGCGCCGCCGGCGCCGCCGGCAGGCGGGGCGCCGTTCCCGTCGCTCCTCCGCTGGGGCCGGCGGAGGCGCCGCGGGCGGCACGGCGAGGGCGCCGCTGGCGCCCCTGGCGCCCCCCGCAGCTGCCGCCGCTGGCGGAGTCGCTGCCGGAGCAGCTGCCCCTGCAGCTGCCGGGAGTGGCGCGTCCGCGTCGACGTCCGAGGAGGAGCACTCGTGGGAGCTGCTCAGCTCCGGCTCCGCCGCCGGCTGCTCCGCGGCCGGCGCGCGCGCCCGGAGCGCCCGCTCGCAGGGGCGCCCGGCCTCCAGCGGGCCAGGAGTGGGGCCGGTCCGCCTGTCCGCCGGCTGCGCGTGGCAGGGGCGGTGCCGCGCGCCGCGGCGCGGGCCCCGCCCGCTTGTCCCCTGGCGGCGCTTCCGCCGGCGCGGGGGCCTCGGCTCTGGCGAGCGGCCGCGCCCGCGCGGGTGCTGCGGCGGCGGGCTCCGCGAGCGCCGCCCAAGCTCCGGGGGAGCTTCCGGGCGCGCCTCGCCCCGCAGGCTCCTGCCGCTGCGCCGGCCGGCAGGTGCGCCGCGGTCGCTCCCACGGGCCGTCCTGCTCGTCCTGCTCGGGGACCTCCAGGTGCCGTCCTGGTGGCGCTGGCGCCTCGGCGGCGTCGCCAGCACCCTTGCAGGAGACAGCTGCGCCGCCCTGCGCGGTGCCGCCCCCCTGCGCAGGCGGAGCGCTGGAGGGGGCCGCCTGCGCGGCGCCGCCGGGCCGCCCGGCCGCGCCGGCGCCTTCGCCTTCCCCTTCGGCCTCGCCCGCCCCGCCGCCGCCTGCCACGGCGCCCGCGGCATCGACCCACGCGCCAGGCGCGGGGGCGACCGGCGCCGGCGCGGCCAGCAGCTGCCACCCGCAGCCCGCCGGGAAGGGGGGAAGGCACACCCAGCACCCCCCGGGCAGCCACTGCATGCGCCGGCGCGCCCCGGCGCGCCGCGCCCCGCAGCCCCTCGGCTCCCCTCGAGCCGATGGCCACGGCAAGCTCCCAACCCCCCGAGAGGGGCAGCCCTACACAGATCTCCAACCATGCCGTCGGGGCCGTGCATCTTCTTCGGAGGCATCCTAGCGAAGATGGGTTCGAGGTCGAATTTCGTAGGAATGACTGCGAGGTCCCTCGGGGCCTCCGGGGCCAGAACAGGGCCCTCGCTGTTGTGAGCATCTACCACCTGCACGACGTCGAGCATGGGGGCGTTCTCGACCTCCGCAAAATGCGACTGCATGTGTTCATCAACCTGCTCTCTCTCGTTCCTCTGCCACTTCCTCCCTCCTCCGAGGCGAATCCAGCCGCGGCGACGAGGACCTCCCATGAGGCCCCCAAAAGCGAAAACGGAGTGGTGTAGCCGTACAAGCGTCCTTGTCTCGCATTTTCCAATACGGGCTCGCCCGAGCTGTGGACCCTCTCCTGGGGACCGTTTTTGTTGCCACTGTTCGTGTCTGTCACGGCCCTGGGGCCCGGCGAGGGACCCCAGAGGCCAGACCACCCAAACAACTTGTCCGCCTGAAATTACCTGTTTCACGAGGCGAGGGGGTCTGCGCTTCCTCCTCCCTCATCGCCTGCAGGCCGTGACGGCGGCGGAGGATGAGGAGGGGGAGGCGGCGGCGGAGGATCGAGGAGAGGAAGGAGGGACGATGAGGGAGAGGGCCGAGGAGGGGGAGGCGGAAGAAGAGGGGAGGCGGAGGCAGAGGGATGGGGAAGCGGGCTGGGAGGAGGGGAGACGGACGGGTCTGAGCTCGACGTCCTCGCAGCGCCTCCGGGCCGCCCGCGGGCTCCCCGGCGCCCGCGGCGGCCCGCAGCTGCCCGTAGATCCCCAGAGCGGTGCGGCCCTCCTCGCCCGCAAGGGCGCGCTCGGCGGCCTCGACCCTGGACAGGAGTTCCGACGCCAGGGCGGCCTGCAGGGCGGGCCAGCGAGGACGGAGGACCGATCCTCCTCGACCATCGATCCTCCATTCTCCTCGTCCTCCCTCTCCTCCTCCTCCGCCGCCTCCTCCTCCGCCGCCTCCTCCCTCCTCCTCCCTCCTCCCTCCTACTCCTCCTTTTCCTCCTCCTCCTTCGCCGCCGTCACGGCCGGCAGGCGAGGAGGGAGGAGGGACGGGCCCCCTCGCGTCGTGAAAACATACGACGGGCAACGTGCTCCAAAATTGAAGGCTCCGAGGGGCCCTCGCCGGGCCTCGGGCCCTCGCCGGGCCCCCGGGACCGTCAAACAATGGCCCATTGCAGGACGAAAAGCTGGTCCAGGGGTGACGGATCGAGACCTCTGAAGGTCCACGATGCGACAGCATCACGATGTCGAGGAACAGGCTTGGAAGAAGGACGGGCGACACCACCACCGCCAGCGCGAGGCGCCAAGGAGGGGGTCCTCCTGGTCGTGTGTGGTCCCACCCTCTGCCCGCTCGAGACATCCCATATCCGCAGCTCGGGGAGGCATCGTGGACCCCCTCGCGTGAGGTTGCCCCCCTGGTGGTGGTGCAGTCTTCGTCCGAGGAGGAGGGGAGCGTTTCTTACTACTTGAGGCCGCAGCATGCTACCAGCAAAGGGAGCAGAGGAAGCGAAAGGGGAATGAATGCAGGGATGAGACGCGGGAAGCCAAGAGGAGACAACATGAGCGGGCACTGAGCAAATGCCCCCACCCCTAGCCCAAGGCGCTCCCGGCCCCCGGGCCGTTTTGAGAGCCCCGGGCCGCTTGCCGGCCTCGTTTGGGTTCCCTTTGGCTCGCCTCGGAACCATCCCCCCAATCCCCCAAACACTTGTAATCTCTTGGAGGGGGAGGGGGTACTCTGTGCTGCGCCAGACTCAGCTGGCTGAGCCTCCCTCGTCGCGTTTCCGCTGGCTTCCGCTGGCCGTCTGGGCGAGGGCGAAGCCCTTTCGATCCCTCGAGGGCGAGGCCCATTCGAGGACGCATGGCCTGAGGGGCATGTTGGGCCTCCTGGGCGGCACTGGGGACAGCATGGGCGAGGACCGCTCTGGCGGCGCGGACAAGTGGGTGGGGCGAGGGGAGCGGCCTTCAGAGAGGGCTCCTCAAAAGGGCCCAGCAGCTTCTGAGAAGGCTCCTAAGACTGCGACAGGGCTGCTCACGGACCTTCCTTGATCTCTTAATAACCGCCCCGATCAAGCCAAACCCTTTTGACGCGCAGCCCAAGCTTGTATCAACCGCACGGGCAGGCATGTGGCGACCGCACGGGCGATGCACATAATGCACATATATTTCACAATGCGTATATGTATATGTGTATGCAAATATATACATATATAGAACCGACACATAATTATATACAATATATATATATATATAGATCTATACATGTATATGTATATATGTATACATATTTATATATGTATGTGTATGTATGTAGGAATGTATGTATATATAATTATGTGTGTGTGCACGTGTGCATGGGCACCTGTGATGTATACATTTGTGTGAATCCACCACTGTGCCCCCTGGCGCGCTGAAGCGCTGTGAAAAAAACAAATCCTGTCTGGTAGCTTGCGGGAAAAATCTTCTGAAGTATCACCCCCTCTCTCTCCGCCGCACATCGCCGCGCGCACCGCCCCTACTCCGGAGCGTACCTGGGCGGCCCTGGCGCCTCCCTGGAGCTCTTAAGATTCCACGTGCGCCCAACAAAACCCCAAGATAGTCCAAGAGGGCCCCGGGTCGCCGGCAGATCGCTCGAAAACGCCCACGATGGCCTCAAGATGGCGCAAAAGGATTTCCAGGCGCCCTAAGAAGCCTCCCCAGAGGGTCGTCACATGCAAGCATCATTCGTTTTCCCGTTGTGTTTTTAACAATGTTGGAATTTTCACTTTTTCGGCTGTCCGACGCTCCAACGGGCCCCCAATACCTCCCCAAACCGGCCCGAGAGGCCTCCAAGAGGGCCGCATGACAGCCTGAGAGCGTCCCGAAACGGCCTAAGAGACGCCCGAAACGGCCACAAAGCAAAAAGCAGGATGAGGACCATGTAATAAGAGGTTAAACTCTGGTGCAAAATGGTGCACCATCTAAAAAACAGTTCGGGTTTTGTTTTAGGTACGATAGTGGGCCGCAATATCCTCTAGCGGTCCGAGCATATAGGGCGCCCGCACCTTTAGCCAGACGCCGGCGGCGCGCTCGCTATGCTCGCTATACAAATCTCATCTAAACTTCTTTATTTCAGAATCGATGGGGGGAGGAGACGAACCGGAGCGAGCGACAAGGTTAAGCTACAGTTCTGCAGAGAAGAACGCGCAGAAGGCTCGTGTTGACACGGGCTGCGAAGTGTCGGCGGGCACGATGGCATCGAGCCAGGATCGCGCCACAAAGTGGCGGCAGGGGCTGGCCTGGCCAAGTGCCAGCGGCAGCCCTGCGGGATCCCTCTGACCAGGACCCCACAGGCGCAGATTGCGCAAGGAAAAGAATAGAAGATTACAGGCGAAACGCAAAAACAAAAATGCTTGACGGATTGCGCCCCCGCCATTACTTGCACCCACAAATCCCGTTCAATACTGCCTTTGGTATGTCCATCGACAGTCGTGTCCCGTGTATCACAGCTCTGTATGCCGCGTGCGATGCGTCTATCCACCATCTGTCTTATCCAGCGGATGTGCCCTAACCGTGAGCAGTATGTAGGCTCTTTTAGGTCCTCGCTGGACAAAGATTTGAATGCCGACTCTTACCGGTTGTGAGGGCAGCTTTGGCACAGAGACCACCGATTCCAAATATACGTTTGAAGTGCGCGGGCGTAAGCGGTCCCGCCTCTAGCTCGCGCGGGGTAACAATGGTCGGGAAGCAGTCCACTAAGTAATGGGCTGCTGCTAGCGTCTCCGCAGAGTAGCTTCGTCCTACCTGAAGTCGATGCGACGTCGATCAGGCGCGCCAGAGATATTCCATTGCGCGTGTGAAAACGCCGGGGCAAGTTGGCAGCTCTCGTGCCATGCCCTTTTCATCTCATCCACAGCGCCCCTGGTCAATCGTCGATGGCCGGAGTCGCTCTGTAGGTCGACTTCTCCAGTGGGCGTCATGGCTGGGAAAGCAGTCTCCCGGGGATGACTCTGCAGTTGCCGCGTAGTTGCGCTCAGCAACCGCACCTGGAGATAGGTGGGTTCTTGAACCCGTTGTAGAGAGACAACATATACCGTCAACCAGATCTGGGCCCTAAAAAGCAAATGCGAATGCTCCACGGAGACTGACGGCCATGTCTGCTACATGCTTCGTCACTTTCTCCTCTGCCTCCATCCCGGCGTGGTCGGGGTGCTGGATCGTGCGAAGTTGTTTAATGTATCCGCCCTGATCCAGGGTGTCCTCTCCATTATCATTCTTGGTGCATCTGACGCCGCAGTTCGTGTAAGTCTGTCTGTTCAGCTTACGCGCGCCGGATGTGCTTTCGACGCATTTCGCGCAGCGATCGATGTTTCCTCTTCTGCAACAGCGTTGATATCGTCCGCGTGTTTGGCCGTCAGTAGCGTCTCCGCTGTTTCGAGTTCTTTTTCGTCGGACGTGGCTCGCAGGCCGAAGCCGCGAGTGATGTCGCGAAACTTCAGGGAGAGGGCTCGCGAAGCCATCCCTTCGTCCCGGCGCCTGGCTCGCGGCGCTGCAAGCAGTGGCGACTTTCTTCGTGTCCCTCGAACCTAGGGGGAGTTTCGTAGCGCAGCTGCTGACCCGGGCGGTCGTGCATGGCATGCGATGCGTTTCCGCTCTCCAGCAGCTTCCGCAAGCCCACGGTAGGTGGGGCCATTTGGGAGCGCCGCGCCTATACCCATAGACGCAATTATCAAGTCAGACGCCCATGAAACCTCGCAGGACATTGCCCACGCGAATCGTCCTGACCATTTCCCCTTTGCCATTCTTGGCGAACCTCAACTTGCCAGCGCGACGCGAAATCACGGCGCTCGAGGCGCCTGAAAGACGCCATCTGGAAGGGCGCGTCACCGCAACAATGTTTCAGCTCAGTGTAGAGTGCCTCGCCTATCTGCAATGGGCTGGCTGCTATCTCAGCCTCAGTGCGCAGGTCGCCTTCCCCCGCCACCGCCGCCCTTCCAGCCGCTGCGGAGACATATATCCGCAACGCGGTAAAGCTGTCGTTCTGCAGTAGACGGCACCGCTGTCCTGCAAGGACAACCTTGGCCATACCGGTTATACAACACACTTCTATACATGTGCCATGCTTGCCGCCATCGAGCGCCAGTCTTCGTCGTGCAGAGAGATCGCGGAGACGCAATAAACATCTGGGTCGCGGTTGCGCGCGTCTCCGCCACGACGAGCACCTGGGTCGTCGCTGGCTACTGCAATCAAGACAGCCTGGCCAGATATCATCATAGCAGGTGCTACGCGAGGAGATTCCAGTGTCGCAGTCCCGAGAAGCTCGCGATCATCTCGAAGTTACGCGCACATAGCTGCGATGACATAATATTCGAGATCGGCTGTCGATACTTCTTGAATCGCGAAGGGGGCGCCCTGTAGGGGGGCGCGCTTCGCCCCCAGGCAATTCCGCCGCCTGCGAGTCACCGCGCGGCGGAAGACCATCTTCATTCTCTTCGAACTTCGAGCGGTCCTCATCGAAGACGGCCTGGGGCTTAGACGATGTCACAATGCAACGCCCTTGCATGTGTAGACACAGTGGTCGCCCGCATGTCGAAGGCAGAGCCATTCGACTCGCAGTAATAGCAACCTGGTGTAACATCGCTGTCATGATAAGCCAGGGCGCATCTGTCCACATAAAAGACAGCTGATAATCGGCGGATGCTCTTGGCAAGTCGGCCGGCGACCACATTTTCGACCATGAAATAGTTTCGGGCCAAGGATTGCAATGCTAAGTGCACCTTGGACGATGATTTGCTGGACGTGGTCATTCGCAAGTCTCCTTGTTTAGCTGGTTGGCATCCAAAGGTCATCGCAGGCCCCCCTGCAGGCACATTTGCGACAAGAGCGAGCACCGTTCGCAGCGCTGCGTTGTCCGAGACAAGTTCTCGGACCATCGGCACCTCAATGAAATGTGCGCGCCTTAGGTCTGGGCGTTGAACAGCGACGTCGCGATTGCCGAGCCACGCATTTGCTTGGCATCTTTTCAGGGGCGTTGCGAGCAACTGGGCATGGACCGCTCCAATATCCCCAGTCGTCCGTCGTTGTGGTGGGCCAGTGGTAGTCTACTAGATCCCCGTCGCGATAAATGCTCTGGTCGAGTGGCGCCGTCTTGGCGCGTGATGATCGGCTAGCTTTCGCTCCTGCTGTTGCTTGCGTGCTGGCCTCCAGGCTGATTTCGAGCATCCGCTGTTCTCGTGGAGGTTCTGACATTCAGTCTGTTGCTCGTGGTCCAAAGCCGGCAGGTCTGGCAGACATGCCCGCTGGCGTCCAGAGACGCCTGGCATGGAGATACTCCATTGTAGAAGGTAAGGCGCTGGACACGAACATCGCTTCATGCAATAGACGGGAGAAGTTCAAAGGCGGGTTGTATCGTTTCATGTATTCCCCCATCGCGTGCGTGGTCTGCCGTGGGATTCAAATTTCATGATTATATGGTTGTGGCGCGTTCTCTGCGTACTCGGATCCAAAGGTCAGTTCCCTTGCGTTTTAAGAATATCGAGCCGTGTCGTTGTTGAGGGCCCCTTCTCCATCAGAGGGCAGGGCTTCTGCTGGGCCATGGTGTAATCGCGCGTAGTGGTATGCGTCCGGCGTCCAGCACCGAGGTCATGGTTTTGTCATGGATTTCTTCACCGGCTGCAAGACGCATGCGTCGGTCGATTATGTGGAACACGACGTGGTTCTTGAAATAGAACAGGTCACGCTCGCACTCCTCATTGACTTTCCCTGGCACGGCCACCGACGGCATGGCGGCCTTGCCTGGCTTCTTCCATGCTCCGCACTCTCGACACGAGCCGCGCGCGCCTTCGATCAGGTCCAGACTGCCACCGCTCAGACCCACCATCGTCGAAATAAGCCTCATCTTAAGCCCCTTAGCACGATGCCACCTCAGGTGTTGCTGTCGGAGCTATTTGGTGGCAGCGGCTGGGTCGAAACTTTGGAGGTTCTGTAGGCTGACCTGGACATCGAGTCCAGTGAGTAAATTTGGGAGCAGGCGTTTCAGAGGCGGTTTCCGCCGCGGGTGGCAGCGGCGGTGGCTCACCGCGTTGTGAGCGTCCCCGCCAGCCGGTGAGTCTTAAGTGGTCATCGGAGCTCCGCGCGCCACCTCCTCCTTTCCCGCCAGCATGTACTCCACTCGTCACGCCGTGACTCCCAACGCCCCGAATGACATCTGAAGACGGGCGCGAGCAGGTGTAAGATAGCCTGGGTTTACACAAGCTGAAAGCCGTCTGCCTTGTCGCGGCGTGTCCGCCTACGTGTCGGGTTCTGATGGTGGGGTTGCTGGTGGGGCTGGCGCTTCCGTCAGCAGTTGTGGGGCGCCAGCTGAAGGTTGATGTGGTTAGGTGGCACTACGTAGGGTTTTTGCGAATCTCCGCGCGGCAGGAATCTTCGCATGTCCTGCCTTATTTAGGCAATATTTCTTGTTGCAGTTTTCGCATTCCCAGTTGATAGGGCCCACGTCATACAACCGACGCGGGCGTGGGTCCCTTGCGTGGTCAGGCACATCCATCCAGATCTGATCTGACCAATCAGGACATGCGATGGGTCAAATCAGATCTGGATGGATGGCGCCCGAGGGGCCACGGGTGGTGGTGGCCTGGCTATGGCGCCCGAGGGGCCACGGGGGGGATCGCCACCAGTTTCATCATCACCAGCACCAGCACCATCATCCCCATCCCCATCAGCATCATCCCCATTATCTATCACCATCACCATCACAATCAACATCATCTTCAGCACCATCATCATCACCACCACCATGATCATCATCAGCAGCAGCCTCATCATTGTCATCATCAGCATAAACACCATCATCGTCCCCATCATCGTCACCATCATCATCATCATCATCATCACCATCATCAACAACACCATCAACATCATCAGCAGCATCATCAGCAGCATCATCATTCACAACGTCATCAACATCAATGCCATCACCATCACAATCACCAGCATCGTCAACATCAAAACCATCATCACAATCACCATCACCAACATCATCATCATCATCATCATCACCATCATCATCCTCCTCATCATAATCAACAAAATCATCATCATCATCATCATCATCATCATCACCATCATCATCCTCATCATCATCATCCTCACCATCATCATGCGCATCCTCACACACTCACACGCTCACGCTCACTCACACATTCATCTGGAAGACGTCTCGAGCGGGAGCCTCGTTTGCGAGGGAATCGCAAGAATGTCTCGAGAGGGAGGACCTTCCCTATGGGATCTCCGCCCTCATGTTCGAATCCGAGCGGGGGCATCCAAATTTTGCGAGCGACTGTCGTCACTTTTTGGCTCCTCAGGACTGAATCTGGAGGAGGTCTCGAGCGGGAGCCTGGTTTGTGAGTGCCTCGCGAGGGCATCTCGAGCGGGAGCCGCTCCCTAATCATGACGTCCCCACCTCCACGTTCGAATGCGAGCGGGGTCATCCAAACGTTGCGAGCGACTGTCGTCACTTTTGGGCTCCTCAGGCCTGAATCTCGGAGGGCTCGAACGGGAGCTTGGTTTGTGAGTGAATCGCGAGGAAGTCTCTAGCGGGAGCCCCTCCCTATGGGGTCCCCACCTCCACGTTCGAAGTCGAGCGGGGTCATCCAAACTTTGCCACTGTCGTTGCATTTGGGCTCCTCAGGTCTGAATCTGAGGAAGTCTCGAGCGGAAACCTGGTTCGTGAGTGGATCTGGAGGAAGTCTTGAGCGGGAGCCGTCTCCCTATGGGATCCCCCGCTCAATGTTCGAATCCGAGCGGGGGCATCCAAATAACTGTCGTCACGTTTGGGCTCATCTGGCCTGAATCTGGAGGTGTCGAGCCTGAGCCTCCCTATGGGGTCCCCGCCTTCATGATCGAATCCGAACGGATGATGGGAGCCTCGTCTGCGAGTGAAGCGCGAGGATGTCTCGAGCGGAAGCAGGGGGCACACAGGTTCCACGGCCCGAACAGGACTCACAGGCCCACGGTTCCCACCGGTCGCACAGGTCCAACAGGTCCCACAGGGCTCTCAAGTCTGAAGTCTTACAGGTCCAACCAGTCCCACAAGTGCCACAGGCCCCACAAGTCCTACGGGCCCCGCAAGTCCCACAGGTCCCCTATGTCCTGCAAGGTTCGCAAGTACAGGTCAGACAGACCCTACAGGCCCCCCAGGTTTCACGGGCCACACAAGCCTCAGAGGTGCCACAAGTTCCAGCGGCCCCGCTGGTGTCACAGGCCCCACAGGACCCGCAGGTTCCCCCAGGTCCCACAGGTCTCAAAGGTCCCACAGGCCTCACAGGTCGCACAGGCCCCGCAGGTCGCACAGGCCTACAGGTCGCGCAGGTCCCACAAGCCCTGCAGATCTCAAACGCCCCACGAGCCCAACAGGTCTCAACGGCCTCACTTGTCGCATCCTGACATCCTGGCATTATCAGCATCGTTAACCGTCGATGATGACTCTCATGAGCACTCAGGCAATAATAATTCTCCGACGACAACCCAGCTAACCCGGTTGGGGGGAGGTGAAAGGAGTGCCAGCCGACAACCTAGCGATTCCGCTTTGGGCGGCCTGACGCATGCGCGCGTGCACCGGCACTGCGTACCCCCTTCGGACCTGCGCAACCGACAATGTAAGTGCATCCGGGGGGCAGGGGAGGGCGGGCGGGCCGGATAACCCAGGCTATCTCTGGACCCTGCACCAGCAAACAACAACGGTCGCTTGGACACCTTCGCCGCCCGTGAGCTCCGCCCGCCTCCTCGCGACCCCGCGAGCCCGCGAGGCTCAGCGCGGCCGCTCCCGAGAGCCGCGCGGCCAGGATGCCGGCGCAGAGGCGCGCCGCCACCGCCGCCGCCGCGCGGCGCGGCATCCCAGGCGACGCGCGGCTGGCTGGCCCTCCCCGGAGGGCCGCCAGGTCGGCGATCGACAGACACTCCATCCAGGCCCCTGCTCACGCCCCGACCCGGGACCCTGACGAGGGTCCCAAACTGGCGGCATGGATGAAGTCCAGTCCTCCCCTAATTCACACAGTTTTGTCCGTGCCCTGCGTCCCCTGGCGCAGAATTGGGGGGCAGTAGCAGGGGTTGGGATCGAACGTCGATCGTCGACCAGGGGGCTGGGCCCAGGGACGGCACATGGTCACTCCCCATGCAGATCCCCGGCATCGTGATTTGCTCGTGAAGTTGCCCACACTGGAGGTCTCGCCCCATTCCCCGGGACGGGCGCTTCACATCGAGTTGTTTTCTGACGGCCCCAAAGCCCGCTAAGGGGCCGCGAAAGTCGAACATGGCCTAAAACCGCCCGTCACGATCTTGTTCCAAGCTTGGGGGGGTCTGGGTAGCTTGTCCCCTGGAGGGTCTCCCTGGCCGTTCGTGGGCTTCCCCTGGCCACCCGAAACGGCGGCCATCCGAGTCGTTTCCTGACGGCCCTGGGGCCCGGCAAGGGCCCCAGGAAACAGAAAAGGGTTGACGAAAACCTCCCGTACTGTATGTTTCGCGCGACGACAGGGGGGCGCCCCCGCGGAGGTTATTTAGAGGCCCCTCCAAGGGCGCACTCGCGGGGGCCTTCTCGAAGCGGCGCGGAGGCGCGGCCACCTTCACGCTCTCACGGCCCGCCCCTCTGGAGCGGTGCCCCCGCTCAGGCCCGCTCCAAGGCGCGGGTCCTCCCCGCGCCGCCGCCGAGGCCAGCCAACTCAACTCCTGGACGGCCTCCCGCCCCGAGATCCTGGCGTTGCATCTGCTTCACAGCGGGCGCATTCGCCAAATTTCGGGCCCCAAACGCTCACATCTTGACACAGCTCGGAAATTACGCTGCCAGGGAATCCCACATACTTCTAATACTATGTCTGGAGTGATGATAGCTGAAGTGAAACGTGCGTGAATGATGCTGGTGGCCGTTGCCCCGCCGATACCATTGGTGACGCCTGTCAAGCCTTGGGGGCCTGAGTACCCTGAGGGCGTCGAGAAAATGCCACCCCTGCCACACTTTCCGAGCCTGGACCGTACAGAGACCGCGCTCAGGGACCGCCCCCTGTGCACTCCCTCTGATGTCGAGAAAGTGCCACCACTGCCACACTTTCCGAGCCTAGACCGTATAAGGTTCGCACTCAGAGACCACCTCCTGCGCACTCCCTCGGGTGTGGAGAAACTGTCACCCATGCCACACTTTCCGAGCCTGGACCGTACAGAGACGGCGCTCAGAGACCACCCCCTGCGCACCCCCTCTCGTGTCGTGACGATGCCACGCCTGCCACACTTTCCGAGCCTGGACCGTATAGAGACCGCGCTCAGAGACCACCCCCTGTGCACCCCCTCTCGTGTCGAGACGATGCCACGCCTGCCACACCTCCCGAGCCTGGTCCGTATAGAGACCGCGCTCAGAAGCCACCCCCTGCGCACCCCTCTGGTGTCGAGAAACTGCCACGCCTGCCACACTTTCCGACCCTGGACCGTGCAGAAACCGCGCTCAGAGACCACCCCCTGCGCACCCCTCTTCTGGTGTCGAGAAACTGCTCCCCATGCCACACTTTCCGACCCTGGACCGTATAGAAACCGCGCTCAGAGACCACCCCCTGCGCACGCCGTCTGGTGTCGAGAAAATGCCGAGACTGGACCGTATAGAGACCGCGCTCAGGGACCACCTCCTGCGCACCCCCTTTGGTGTCGAGAAGTGTCGCGAAAATGCAACGCCTGCCACACTTTCTGAGCTTGGACAGTACAGAGACCGCGCTGAGAGTCCACGCCCTGCGCACCCCCTACGGTGTCGAGAAAGTGCCACGCCTGCCACACTTTCCGACCCTGGACCGTATAGAGACCGCGCTGAGAGACTACCCCCTGCGCACCCCCTATGGTGTCGAGACAATGCCGCGCCTGCCACACTGTCCGACCCTGGGACGCGTAGGGACGGCGTTCAGAGACGACCCCCGGGTGCGACGCGGCAAGGAAGAAAACCAAAACCCCACGAAACATGTTGGGAAATAACACGGAAAGATGGGGTCCGGGGCTCCAATGCTGATTGTTTGACATGCTGCAACGTCAGATCTGAGGGCTGGCCGTTCCTGGGACCGGCTTGTCATCCCAGATCGTTTTTGTTGACGGTCCCGGAGCCCCCGAAAGTAGCGAAACGCCTTCCGTGATTTCTTCAAGACGCAAGGGGGTCTGGGCAACTTGGCTCCTGGAGTGTCCATGGTCTCCCTGGCCGTTCCTGGGCATCGCTCGGCCCCTGGCAGGAGAGCCCAGAATCGGATCGATCCATCGGATCGGCGATCGGCATGATCGGATCAGCGGAGATCGGCAGCCAAGTCGGGAGAAGCCGAATCGTCGGGAGTCGGGAGGCCAGCAAGGCCTCCCCCGAGACGCCGGATCGAAGCGGAAGCAGAATCGATCGAGATCGACGCGACTCGAGTCGCAGGAGTCGGAAGGAGCCCTGCCCTAGGGGGCGGCCAGCCAGCCACGGGGCCACCCGCGGCGTGGACGTTCGGTCACGGACGCATGGACAAAGGGCGCCGCGCGCCGCGGCTGCCTCGAGGCACAAACTGCCCCTGGGCGGGCGCGCCTCCCGTGCGGAAGCCGAGCAGGAAAGAGCCGCCCCGACATTCCCGCAGGCCGACCACAATCGGGTCGGGCGAAAGGGGGGATAGCAAAGGGGGGGTTTGAGAATCAGCTCACGTAGCTGACTTTCCCGGCGCCTCCAGGCGCCGGGAGCGGCCATGTATCGAGGAATTGACCCCTCGGTGAGGCCGAAACCAGCTGCATGCAGCAAATTTCGTAACCCCCCCTTTCCCAATCCCCCCCTTTCGCCCGACCCGACACAACAGCGGTGCTCTGAGAGACAAGACCGATGTGCTGAGACAAGACGGTCTCAACCAGGCACGTTCGAAGAACATGTCGCGCAGGCCACAGGCCGGTTCTCAGCCCATCCTCTGGTGGGCCTGTGGGCAAGCCAGGACGCCTCGCTGCTGCTGGAGGAAAAGCGACTCGGACATGCTCGCGTCGTGAACGAACACACGGCGCGTCAGATGTTCTGCACTTTGCAGCATCCCAGGGCCCTTGCCCTGGGGCAAAGGCGGAATGGCGACCCGAACATGCTCGCATCGCGAACAAAAGCACGACGCGTCACGATTTCGGCACATTTCGGCCTCAGGGGGCTCTCGCCGGGCACCGGGACCGCCGAAAAACTGCTCGGAATTTAAAACTAGCCCATGGGGTAAGTCTTGTGACTTCCCGCGACCGCGTATTGAAAAACAAAGCATCGCAGGTCCGGCATGCCGCCTGCGTCCCTCTTCCTACTTTTGCTGCTGCTGTGCACGCGATCCTCTGCACTTATTTACCCACGCACTGAAAACGATAGACTAATACTGTGCTTCATTACATTGGGCCACCTTCTGCATGCACGAATTGGCGCTGATACGATTGACCACACAGCTGGGCATAGTTGGCGGTATCTGGGATGAAGGGGAAGAAGGCAGGGATGACAGCAACAACGACGACAAGACGACGACGGCGCCACGTCTTAGCGCCTTCGGATTTGGGGTCTCAGGGCCTGCGGGTCCCAGGGGCTTGTCGGACACAAGAACCTACCGTGGGTTCGTGTCGTGTCGACCCTGGCGCTGGTTCCTAACACCACGGGGATCTTTCAACCTGGCCGTTTCCGAAACGTCCGATCGTTCAAAATCGACCGATTCTGGGTCGCCAGCGGCGTTCAACGTTGAACGCCAGCGGCGGGGTCGCCGCCGGTCGATACGACGCGAACCTACCGTAACGCCGTAGTACATTGGGGTCTAAGAGTTTTCCGGTATCGGAGAGAGCGAGGTGCGAGTGATGACGTTCTTGTAGGGCGAAGCCCTCTAGGGAGGGGTGCAGGGGAGGGGCGATGGCGGCGCGCTTGGGCGTTAATGTCCGCCGGGGGGCCGTCTCCCTGTTTTTTTTCGAATGAAGCGGCTCGCGGTCGCCTTCCACGGCCCGTTTCGTCATATTTTTTCGGATGAAGCGGCTCCGGGGCCCCAAAACGGCCCGAGAGGGCACCAAAATGACCCAAAGACGGCCCCAAGGGAGCATGGCCGCCGGGGGGCGGTTTCCCTAGTATTTTTTCGAGTGAGCCGGCTCGCGGGCGCCTTCCACGACCCCGTTTCCACATGTTTTTTCGAGTGAAGCGGCTCAAGAGCCCCAAGACGGCCCAAGACAGCCTCCAAGAGAGCTTCGGATGGCCTTCAAACGGTCCAAGAGAGCCTCGAGACGGCTTCAGAGATCCTCCAGAGAGCTCTCGAGAGGGCCTCCGGAGCTTAACAAATACTGATTTCCTTCTGGTTGTTGAAAGTTTTTCGGGTTCTCGTCTTTTCGGGCCCAGACGGGCCCAACACGGCCCATGAGGTCCCAAAACTCCTCCCAAGACGGCCACAGAGGTCCCGCAAAAGGCGGGAAACGGTCCAAGAGGGCCCCCGGACGGCCCAAGAGGACCCTAAAACAGCCCCAAAGGGCCCCAAGACGGCCCCCAAATGGCCCCAAGACGGCCCCAAGAGAGCCCAAAGAGGCCAGAAGGGCCCCAAGAGCCCCCCAAGAGAGCCCCCAGACAGCCAAAGGCCTGCAAGACGTTCCAAGACTGCCCAAGAGGACCCCAAGACGGCCCAGAATTGCTCCAAAAGGGCTCCCGAAGGGCTCCAAAAAGGCCCCGAGAAGACCCGACAAGGTCCAAGAGACGCTCAAAAACACCATGGCTCCAACCAGCGAGCGGTGACGTAAAGAGCTCGTCACACCAAGGCTCCCAAGAGCGAGCGGCAACGTGAAAGTCTCTGAACAACAGGGATCTCAACGGAGAGCAGCGACGTGACAAACTTTTCACACCAAGGCTCCCAAAGGCGAAGGGTGCCGTGAACCATCTTGGGCAAGCTCCTGAGGCGCTCTTTCCGTCTCAGTGCCGGCCCAGGTCTTCGGGCCGGCCTCTGGTGGTTCTCGTCTGCTGGTCGTTGACACCTGGATCGCCAAGGACTGGGGTCTCGGAGATGGGGCCACAGGGCCTTGGCATACTTTTGGGAAGCCCAGGTGCCCTTCCCAGCAAGGAAAAGCCGCCCGCTTCGCCCCGACCCATGTGCGCGCGGCCGAGGACGGGAACACAAACCTCTGACTCCGTGCTTTCGGGCATAGCCCGAGTCTGTTAATTGCGAGGTGCGCTGAACTGAATGACTAACTGGCTGGCTGGCTGGCTAACTGACAAACTCACTGACTGACTGACTGACTGGTTGCACCCGTGAGCATGTCGTTGAATTCTCTTGCACGGTAATGCTCTACAGCTCGCAACCTTTTACTTTCGCGGCTCGTTCGTTCTTTCGTCCTGCTCCAGGCCCTCCCCCCTCCCTCCCTGGCTCCACCGCGGCCCTCCGTAAAGCCATGCCCCATGGCCCCGCCCCCCCCCCCCCGGGCAGCGGTCCCCTCGTGCAAGATCCAGGGCACGTGTGCCACCTGTTCTGGGCCACCGAGAGCGCAATCCATGGCAACGAGCCAAACAAGGTACGGGCCTGGGGCAAGACTTACATCTTTCGCGGGCTGCCCCGCCCTCTCATCGGTGTTTCGAAAGTCCCGCAGCGCGTGCGCCACCCATGTAGCTTCTGCCACACTTGAAACTTTTGTTGCAATGTCATCATCGTGATCATGTAGGCCAACGTCTTTCCAATTGTTGTACATGGATTGGGTACGTCGCAGGATAATGTTCAACGCGCGGCCACGGAACCATGCACCCCCTCCCCAGAGCAGCCAGGCGGACTTGCAGCCCACTTGCAGGTGCTTTGCAGGTGGGCTGCAACCGCTTTGCAGCTGCTGCAAGTCCCAGCGATCACTGCAGCAGGGTCGAAATCGAGAGAAAACGCCGGGACTGAAGGAGGAGGGGGAGGAGGAGGAGGAGGAGGAGGAGGAGGAGGAGGAGGAGGAGGAGGAGGAGGAGACGGATGAGGAGGAGGAGGAAGAGGAGGAGGAGGGGGAGGAGGACCAGAAGGAGGAGGAGGAGGAGGAGGAGGAGGAGGGGGAGGAGGAGGAGGAACAGAGGAGGAGAGGGGAGGGGAGGGGGGAGAGGATGGGCACAAGGAGAAGGATAAGGGATAAGGAGGAGGAGGACGAGGAGCAGGTCGGTCGCCGTGGGCGATTGTCGTCGCCGTCGGCCGCCAGGGGGGGCCCCGGTCCTGCCGGGGCGGCAGCGAGCCGCGGCGGCGGCGACGCGCACGCGGCCATCGCCGGGGGGGACCGCCGCGGGGGCCGCCTCGCCGGGGGGGAGGGAGGGAGGGAGGGAGGGGGACAGGTTTTAGGAGGCAAGTCCTGGGAGGTCTTCGCGAGAGCGACTGCATGCAGGCTTTTCAGCCCGCGTGGGGAACCATCGAGCCGGACTTGCCAGCTCCAAGTCCGGACTGAAACCAGGCTAAGCCGGATGAAGCGGGATGAAGCGGAATCAAGCGGGACTATGTCCAAAGAGGCCCGTGTTCGGCCATGGATATCCCAGCGCCAATGCTCAACTTAACAACCCCTTTGTTGTATCCCAAAGGAAAAAATGGAGGAGGTTGAAGATCGAGGAAGCAGAATCATGGAGGATGTTGAACGATGAAAAGGGGAGGATGGAGGAAGGACGGGACGGGAGGGAGGAGGGAGGGAAGAGGATGGAGGTTCGGGTCGGTCTGGCTATTCTCGAATGCGCGCGTCTGAATGTGTGTCAGCTGAGGGAACGCCAATCTCGACAGAGTATGACGGCCCAAGCGGTCAGAGGACAGTGGAGGAGTAGGAGTCAGGAGGCACAGCAGGAGGAGGAGAGGAGGCGAAGGGGGGACTGGGGAAGGATGAGTGAGGAGGTCGGAGGAGGACGAGGGGGCCCCAACTGTAGCGAATGGGGAGTCTGTTTGCTATGGTATACTGAGATCGTCTGTGCTGCGATCGCCTGTTAGCTTCTGCAGCGGGGCCATGGCCACAACAGTCCGTGCCCCAACCGGGTGAAACTCCAGGGGATATTGGGACGAGAACTACCCTGGCGCTAAAGCAAAGGCTGGTCGCAACGTCACTGGGAAAACAAGTATCGAAGACGTAGTAGTCTTCATCGCCGTGTGGTTGCTCATCTGGGGACCATGGTGGATCGCTTGCGCAACGCAAAATGCGGGGAAGGAGGACAGGAGGGAGGAGGGCGGGGCGCTAGCCAGCCACGAGGCTGGCCGACGCCTGGGCTGCAGCCGCCCCAACCTCCTGCTCAATCCCAACAGGTATGCACGTCTTGGGAAGCCTGCGCAGCTGGGAAATTTTCCCTGCGTGATGCGGGCGAGGTTCTCTCGACCCTTTCTTAGGAAGATTAGACACTCATCAGCTTGCTGACGCCCGTTCACGGTGGCCGTTCCCCCGCAGTGGTGGGAAACATACATGCCGAAACGGCCCCATAACCCGAAGCGATGGGACTCGCCGAGGGTCACGCCGCAGACAACCACGGGCCCAGGGGCCGAGACGACAACATCTCGAGGCCAAATTCTGGGCCCCATCATGAACGCAATCCGACGCACAAAACTCCAGGAGACCACCCCAGGTACAACAACTCCAGCACCTGGAAAACCTGGCACGATTGCCACACACTGTGACATGTTGAGCGCTGGCGCGGGCGGCACGATCCTGCATGGTCC